ACTCATGGGGTGGGGGAATTTAATGCATGCCATTTTTATGACATGCATAAGTAGGGTGGTGGGAAGCAAAGAAATGCTTTGTGTGTTATATTGATGATGTTTGCATAACTCAATGTCAGATTTACCTTGTTCAGGCCAACAAATGTAGAATATGCAACATTCATATTTAGGGTAGGAGGGAAGAATTTAAAGTGGTGTTGCATTGTTTTTGTTGGAATATCTTGAAAGAAAAAAAGCACACCCACACACTTTTCTCATTGAGCTGAGAAGAGGGCTGGCTTTTTGAGACAAATGCTTTGCTTCTCTCTTGCTTTACTGCCCATTGTGCACATGGACCCAAAACTGTGTCAACAGGTTCATTTCCATAGGTACAAATGTGTGCCCAGCCTGAACACATAATGCCATTTGTGCTAAATCAGAGGCCACAGCCATGTTTCCATGCAAACTAAAGGATGTTAGCATTGAACATGAGGACTGAAATGACTTCCTGAATTTTGCCTTGTGGAGGAAGATAACTGCAACCGAAAGCCAGTTTGGAACAATGATTAGAGAATTAGACAGGGGCTTGAGAGACCAGAATTCTGGTCCCCACCCAATCATGAAGTTCACCAGGTAATTTTAGGCCACTCACTGACTTTCAGCCTCAAGTATCTCGCAAATGGAGGGTGTGAGGACGATGGAAGCTCCCATGGGATGCTTGCAAAAGGAGTGTGTGTGTGCGCGTGTGCATGATAAATAAGAAAAAGCAAAGCAGTGTTTTGAGAACATACATATATAGGTTTAAACACGGAGCCCCTCCGGCCCTACTTATTCATTAGGGAATATGAGGAGAAAGCTAGATTGAGAGATACCATCATAGAAGGGCAAGGAACCATTGAAAAACTGCTGAACTCCACAGCATGGCCATTTGGACTACCAAAAATAGCTCAGTGAGATGGGACATCCCTGGGTAGGGACTTAAAGCTACTCAAGTATAAAGATGTTATCCGGTCATCATACTTGGAGAATTGTTGAACCATACCCTGAGAGTGTTGGCGATTGAATAGCATATTAATATTAATATATTAATATCATATAATATTGATATTAATATTATTAATGACAATAGTGGTAGCTGTCATCATCATTAACAACATTTGCAAGGAATAATTAGGAGTGCAAAACAGGAATAAATATATTTCAGCTTTAATGTTGCTTTTCTTCCAACTTCTAATCTCTCTGTTGCTTATTAATGCAAGTTGTCCACTCCACCTTGTTTGAATTCCCCTTAAGGGGGAAAAATCATTCACAAGATCAAAAGGTCTGCATTTGCAAAATGCATAGTCTTGTAAGGTTTTAGCTTTAAAGTATATATGAATTGATTTTCAATATTTCTATCCTGTTGCCTTTCTATAAAAAGAATATTCAGTATGGTAACCAATGTAATAGAAAGTTAAAAAGTAAAATAAATGAATGTGATGATACACTTCTATGAAATTTAGCCATAGTAAAAAGAAAGGTCAGTATAAAAACCAGCACCAGTCAGAAAATGATTTTAAATTGAACAGCAATACAGTAATCATAGGATTTTAGAATTGTGAGAGATCACTGAAGTCATCCGTTTCAACCCCTCGCTCATTTCAGGCCACATGATGCAGGATGAAACCACAGAATCTCTGGACTTCCTAACCTCTAACCTCTGCTTACATATTTCTGGTGAGGGACTGCTCACCACCTCCAGATGCCATCTGTTCCACTGTCAAAGCTTTTACTAGGATGGGTTTCCATAAGGAATTCACTGTTAAGAATCCCACTGTGTTCCAAGGTAACACAGCTTTGGACATGGTGAAGATCTCTGACAAGTATCAAGGGCAGAAACAGGTGGGAAGGGAGTGACAAGTATAGATCCTATTTCAGCAAAGGGAGACAGTCAAAAGTCTCTCGGTTCCACCACCATCCTGCTCTGTCCCAAGGCAGAATCTTCTGCAAAGAAATTCACATTCATCTGTGGACCTACAGTGCTCCACAGCACCCTCAGAAGATTGGTCCATATAAAGAGAACTCAATAAAGGACAGGGCAGAATACTTTTTAAGCAAGCAAGCTAGATTACAGCAGATCACCACAGCAAGAATCAGTTAGACACACCAAGCAACAGAGATTGCTAAAGTTCGCTTAAATACAGAATATTTATTTAACTCCCATTATCACTGTGAAAAGACTGAAGATAGTATCTGCTATCAACTAAAAAACCCAGAAGGCACACCTGGTTTGGTAAAGACAGAAATGTCAATCCTGGGTCACTAGCAAACCCAAACCAAGAGAAAACTGTTTCACACTCCTAAATGTAACTATCAACTAGATCTTGTAAGTGTAATGCAAAACCTATCCATTGGTCTCTTCTGGGAGAAGTTTTCTTGGCCCTCTGGGATGGACCCAACTACTTTGCATTCTGATTCCTGAATGGTCAGGGTCAAAGGTCATCTGCCATGAATATAAACCAGGACTGCACACTTTGTGACTCACCAGGATGAATGCCACACACTTTCTATGTATTATGTGCTTAACCAGTGCTTTTTTTGTAAGAAAAAAGGTGCCAGAACTCATGAAATTATTTACCTTTCACACATAGTCAATCACTGTACACACACCCACACGTCAGTTGTGTAACGAAACATGATGGTGCCGCCTGCAGTAAGCACTCAGCGCGCGACCACATGACCAATCACAAGCCGAGCAGTGCCACAAGCTGAGCAGCACCATCACAACCAGCATGGACGACGTACGCATGCATCGGACTCGACACACAAGCCGCCTGCATGCCACCGTTTTAATGATTTTGCTGCCAACCTGCTACGCTCGACAGGGCGATTCAAATCTACATGGACCAAACATCAAATTTTCAAAAGTTACTTTTAAAACTTGGAAAATCTGTTGAAAAAAGGTGGCAGAACTCCATTCCAGTGCGTTGTATGACAAAAAAAGCACTGTGCTTAACAATCACCCAAACAAGCAAGAAAACCAGAAGATACATTTGGGCTGTTAGTGAGCTGTCAAATACAGTTGATCACAAGGTGTGTAGCCCCAACAGAAACTCAGCAGATAATGCATCACAAAGTGAATGCTTCCAAAGGAGATGTTGTACTGACAGAAGAGGCCATGGTATGTAATGTCTACAAGTCATGCCTTGCACAAGTCAATGATTATCACTCTCAACAATTAATCAGGGTGGAAATCATGCTGGAGCCAACTAGGTTAGATGCAATTAGGTTCAATGTGAGAAGTTTGCCATGAGTAACTCAAGTCCAGTGGGCTTCAGGGGATCCATGTGCAACTAAATCAGTCTAGATCCAAATCACTGTTTTCCATAATCAAAATGGAGGAAGGCAGTGGCCAGCAAAGCAAAGCAAAGCAAAGCAAAGCAAAGCAAAGCAAAGCAAAGCAAAGGTCCTACAGTGTAGGCATCCAAGAGGAAAACACGACTTATTTGAATCAGGAAAGCCTGTGCAGTAACACGTTGCTCTTGCTTAGAGCTTGGCAAGAGCATAAGAGAAACTGGGCCAATTCCAAGCCCCCTAGGATTACAAGCTTTGTTATATTTATTTTATTTTTTATTTTAAAAACTGGCAGTTTTACAGTCTTCAAACCCATCACATTTACAGGGAATAACAGCAGCAGTTCTTGGATGCATTCTTTAATTTCCACTGAAAACACTGCCCTGAGCTTCTCAAAGGAAACGTACAATAAAAACATAATATTAGTTTAATGGTCAGCTTCTGTGCACATGTGTGTGCATATGCGCACACATGCATGCACATGCACGCGCACACACACACACACAATGAAAGAGAGAATATGCTCAAATATTGCAGTATCTGCCACACAGTGCAACCATAATTCATATTGCAATTACAAGTGGGGGAAAAGTTTGACAATGATATCCATTATCAAAAGAAAAATGCGGATTATGAATGAAAAATAGAACACAAGACGCACTGCCTTTTCATAGAATTGTAGAACAGTAGAGCTGGAAGGGGCCATGCAGGCCATCAGGTCCAACCCCCTGCTGTGGCAGGACACCATGTTACGCCATCCCACTCAGTTGGCTGTCCCCTCTGCAGCGTGGGAGAGCCCATCACCTCCCTAGGCGACTGGTTCAACTGTCATATTGCTCTGTCAATGAGGAAACGTTCCCTGATATCTGGCCTGAATCTAACGTGAAAAACTGTCCTCATTGCTATGACTTTTCTAAAGAGACTTTGATTTTTTCTATATCTATATAGTACCATAGGTTTCTCTTTCTAATGTATATTTTTCATTTCCGACTTACATTTATTCATTATATATCAATTTGTTCATCTACCTACATGTACATAACTGAATACTTAAAAGCAAAATTTTCTTTGTAGTTGGTTCAGTTAATGCTTCTTAAAATGGCATCCAATGTGATGACACATACTTTAACATATTTAGAAAAAACAAAAGAAAATATTATTTTTCTCAAGAAAATGCAAGCTTGCTGCTGCCCTTCAGAGAACTGATGCTGTATCAAAATAATCTATTCCTCCCGGTGCTTTGCCTCCGGGTGGTTGTATTCGGGCTATAAAGCAGGGCATCCTTTGGCTTAATCAAGCTGTGGGTCAGACAAGGTAACTGTAGTACAGTTTTAGTGGATTGTGAATCTTTCATGGTAGACTGCTTCTGATGCTGCAGCAAGAAGTATCACAAAACCCCCAAATCACCCCCCCCCCCGCCCCAACAATGTTCCACCTCCCAAGGAAATATAAACAAGCTGTATTGAAGAAGAAGAGCATAAATAGGAAGGGCTTTCTGATAAATATTTCATGGCAGGTCTGTGCTTCCTATTACAACTCCCTTGATGGATGCACAAGCTCAAAGTCACAAACCATTACAGTTCAGAGGGAGGAAGGAAGGAAGGAAGTGACCTCTGTGTGGGGGAGACACCTATGAACAAAAGGGAACACTGTCATCATCATTTGAAACCTAAGAGCAAGGCTCTAACCTTTCTGCTGGGCTGTCAGGCTCAATAAATCGGATGAGAGGTGGAGAGGAGAGGGTTTCCGTCGCAAAGATCCCCCCTTGAAGTTGCAGTCCAAAGCCATTCAAGGGGTCGCCTCTCAGAATCACCTCTGTTGTTTCTGTATGAACAATCTGCCCGCCAGGACCCACCGTACTGGAGGCCAAGGACACTGAAACGAGAGAGAGGGGGTCAGGTAAGCAGAACACTCCACGGGAGCATCTGCAACTGTCATCCACAACGGTGCTCCCTTCTTATTGTATGAAACCCATCTGCACAAGTAAACCTGGAATTTTGGAAAACAGGTCATCTTTCCCTTTCATACTTGCTTTTGCAGAATTCAAACAGCAGAAAGTGACCTGTAACTGTCATTCTTCGAGTGGTCATCTGTGCCTCTTTGACCAATTACCAAATCTGCTATTTGGACTAGGTGATTTAGTGGGTTGTGGCTGGGCAGCTCCAGGCTCTCCTGGAGGAAACTGATTAGTTAGATCCATTTCAATCAGGCTTTAGGACTGGCACTGGAATGGAAACTGCCCTTGATTGCCCTGTGGGATGCTTTGCTGGGAGAGAGACAGGGGTGTAAGGGCTGGGACAGGCATTATGCCAGGAACAGGGTACTGGTATGGGACCACGTCCTGCAGCTCAGTAGGGCTAGAGTCTGGTGGCATGGTCAGCAGTCCAGGGTCAGGGCCAAGACAGCAGGCAGTCCAATATTATACCGGTGAGAAAGGCAGCGCAGTCCAGAAACAGTCCTGTGGTCTGATGCCAGGGAAGCAGCCACGGAAAGGTGGTCCAGACAAGAGGGGGCTGGAGCAGGGCAGGAGCAGCTGCAGCAAGCAAGGACACACAGTAGCAGGGCTGGCGCAGACTAGGGCACACAGGATCGAACAGGAGCAAGGCAGGGACAGACTGGAACTAGGCAGGGACTAACTGGAGCAAGGCAGGAACACCTGGGGCAAGAGGAACAAGGCAGGATCGAGGTGGTGCACAAGCTGTGGGTCCTGGACGCCACTTGCATTGCTGCGGCAAAGAGCAGCAGTGCCAGAAAGTCTTTTATGCCAGTCTTCAGGATCTCCAAGTGCGCTGCTTAACTGCTCTTCCATTGCTCCCTGCAAGAGCCCGCAAGGTTGCTCCTGCTTCTGCAGGCACTTGCAGGGCCGCTCAGGCCCGGATCCTAACAAGGGGGAGCACAGCCCGTGATCAGTCTTCCAGCTGCAGTGACTCAAGAGCAGGGGAATTCATAATTCAGAGGATCTGCTGGAAGAATCTGCCCATGGAGATGACGGGTCCATTGGAGGAGATGGACCCATGGGCACGTGAAACAAGAAGAGGAGGGGCTCCCACCCAAACGAATGCTTAATCTTCCTGACAACAGGCTCCGTGCAGGTGCAAAGCCCAAAGGTGCGATGCAAAGACACCACAAATTAGAACCAGATTGTCTGATGAGGTCTAATGAACACTCCTGGCACTAGAACAGCTCTTCACTGAATGAGCCAGAAATGTGTACCCAGTGGTGCTAGTGGAATTCAATTTCTTAACTGGTTATTCACATCCTCTCTTCCTCAGTCCTAGTTTGAGGGGCAAGGCACTTTAGAGAGAAAGTCACTGTTGTCCTTCTGTGCCATGTGCATGCCAATGATGGGGCCCATAGAGAAAACACACAGGCACACGTGGAACTCGCAAGTGAATGGATAAACCAGTGCTGTGGGAGGCTACCTTGCCAAGCAGCCACCGAAAGACAGATGAGGCCAAGAAGGAAAGCTAAATAATCTGTTCATTATCATAAAGGTGAACAGGTGGGAGACCTTTGGTCGGAGAGTTCACAAATTTACTTGGCTAAAGAGGTCCATTATGGCACAGAAGGCATGGAAGGAGAAGGTAAGCGCATACGCCCCAGAGGCTTCTAGTAAATGATAGTCTTCTCTTGTTTCAGCCTCAGACTTGGTTTCTAAAATGAACCAAACTGCAAAGACTGGTTTCCCTCCGTCAGCTGTCAATTACATCTCCTATTACTAGTAGCTTTGGGTCTCTGAATTCTTATCTGTTTGCTTATGAAGCTGGTTGGTACAGTTTCTTTTTCTGCCATGGGCCAGAACTAGAAAGAAACACCCTAACACTGCAACATATCATATTAAAGTTGGCTATGGTACTCATTTTTGTAAGCATTCTTGGGATAAGCCCAGGGGTACGTCTCCTTTAGAGTCCCAGAGTGCCATTGCCTTTCTACAATTCAGTGGAATTAAAACAAGGATTCCACACGACAGTTAACACAGTGTTATATTAACTAGAAATAACTTTCTTCATGGCCAATATTTCATTCTTTCTGTCTTTCATTCATTATATCTCCATAGTGCCCAACAGTCAAAACTACTCTGGGCAGTTCACAAACCAAAATTTAAAAGCATAAAATACAACAGCACAGTGGCAGAAAATATCTAAAAATGCATTTAAAACAGAGTAAAGCTAAATTAAAAAACAGAGTAAAAGTCACCAGCAGTGCAAAGATCATCACACACACCTGATTTCTAAAAGAGGAGGACCAAAACCTGAGACCCTTCCACACAGTTGCTTCACAAGTAAGTTCCACTGAGCAAAAATCACTAAAAACTGGAAATTAAAGTGTTTTGCTTCCTTTTGATCTGAACTGGAGGGGTGTAGCTGATGGGTGATTTCCCCTTGAGTAGCCTCTCTGTAGACCAAACTAGACATGACACTGCTCTTGCAAATTAGCAGTTGAATGAGTGCATTTTGTGTGCGTGCGTATGTGTGTGTAGTCTGGATTGGGGTATCTGGAAGGGAGAGTGCTCTAGTTTGTTCCCCCACCCACACCATGATCCCTTCCACACCCGCTATTTGCTCTAGAAAAGAGGCTTTCACTGGACCAGTGGGAGCTTTTCCCCTCAATGCAAATGGCAGGTTCAGGAGTTTCTAGTAGCCGTGTGTGTGTGTGTAGAGGTGATCGGCCATGGGAAGCTCAAGAGTACCCATCAGTACTTCCTGTAATGGGGCAAGAAGGGCCAGACTGTGCATCTTCCTTTTATGACCCTCCAGAAAAGCAAGGAACTGGACCAGAAATTTAAGGGACAGTATGGATAATCCTGAGGTATCCGAAGCAGAACAGCCTCGCCTGTTCCCCCAGCAAGTGCATCAGCCCTTACGTGAACTTTTGTGCTCCTTCTTCCTCTGTCTTCTCCTCATCATGGTGGCCCGTGGGCTCATGGGATGGTTGCACCGAGGTAGAGTATTGGAATTCTGGCAGGCAAACCCTGAAGTGTTCATTGTGGGAGATGCGAAGTTGGCTGCTACGAGGGCTAGACAAAGGCAAAAGGTACGTTCAGTGCTGGCAATGAAACAGCCTTGGCGGCATCATTAGTGCTGCGTCTGAACCGATGCTCTGCTATTCCTGGTGCCTCATACCAAAATGGCTTTCACAATCCCTGCTTTAACAGCTATGGACAGTCCTTTCAAAGTGCCTCCTAAAGATACCGTCGCTTTTGTACTTTTTCGCAACGTCCTGCCACAATCATATCCACAAAGAGCTGCCCCACTCAGAGAAGCAGTTATTTCCAAAAGCTATTTAAAAGAAACCAGGAGTTTCAGGTTTCTAGTGTTTGGGGGCATGGCGTGGAATTAAAAGGCCACAGGGAGCTCAGCAGCTCCGACTGTGCAGGCTCAGTGGGACGTGGAGGGGTAGCGGCAACTTGGTTTTGCAGTGATGTCTCTGGCAGACCCATGGAACCACCCACAGGGAGTCTGACTGTCGGACACATGGGTGGGTTTTTTGTGCAACAGCCAGCCCACCGTGGCTTGTTGTCAGAGTGGGTTGACATATCACATGAATGCTCTCACTGTGTGTCTTGTGACACTGCATGCAAAGAACCCACATTCTGGCTGTGCAGATCAAGGTAGAAGGAAAATAGGCTGCGTTACACTTGCAATAATCCTGGCTGGACGTCTGGTTCCAGCTGGGCATCTTGCAGTGCCCTGGGTGGTGGGTATGGCAGTAGCTGACACAAGGATCCCAGCAATGGTGGTGGTCGCTCTTCTGCACTTTGACTTTGCCCAGCATAATACAGGAAACACAAAAGAGAATGTCAGAAATGGGTATCACACGCAAAGCAAGGCTGCTGGGAAGCCCACTATGGAATGCTGTACAGGTAGGTCAGCACAGGTGCACCTCCTGTTGGGGAGACTAAGGGTAAGGTCAGCATCACAGGCCCCACTCTCCAGCTCATCAGCAAGAACGAGCGGGATGGCAGGAAGCATGCATGGGGATTCTCCGCAGCTCCAGGACTTTGGAATCCCCTCTGCACACACGGCCTCATTGCCGCTTTTTTAAAACAAGCAAATGTGCACTTATCCCAGTCTAGATTTGGTGCTTTAAAAAACACTATCTGCTCTCTTCCCCTCTGTGTGCTTCACTGTAATTTGCATGTTCACGTTTTAACAAAATTGCATGCTACCGTGTGAAGGCAGTGTGCCCTGAAAGATGGACTGCAAAAATGATTTCAATAAATCAATATGCTGCCACCTTCTTTTTTTGCATCCATGCAACTTTAAAAATCTAAGCAGTCTGCAGTGAGGAGAGATTGCATCAGCCTCCAGAATGCAAAACTGCCTGTTGAAGAGGGCCACCTTTCTGAGCGTGAAGACAAATGAGCATTTGCTTTGCATGCCTCACATAGAATTAGGATAAATTTGCTGTCTTTCCCCAGTGAATGCAGCCTGCCTTGGAGACAGGGAGGATGCATGCACATGGTGGGCATGTTGTGAGCACAGCCGGCTGGAGCCGGGGGTCAGACTAGATGGCCCAGGTGACCCCTTCTGACTCACTCTGTTTCTATGTTTCTAACCTCTTCCCTTAGTACCCTCCTCCTGTTCCCACCCGGGAGTGTGTGAACTTGTCATCACGGAATTTAGGAATGCCATTTGTGAAAAAGGTTTTAGAATCATTATTAAGAGAATTATTATTAAGCATGTAAATCTATGCTCCTTTAACTGGGAATAAGCCCCATTCAACTCAATGGAAACAGCTACTGAATAAATCTGTGCTCCAAATGCCTGAGAGAACCTCTGTGAAGCAAGAAAGAAGCCACTGCAGCTATCAGTGTGATCGCAAGGTCAAATGAACCTACAGAGCTGCCTGTCACCAAATCAGACCCTTGTTCATCTAGCCCATGGCATCTAGTCTCAGTGGGCAGCAGTCCTCAGGAAGGGCTGGCTCATTTCTGGTCAAGCCATTCAGCAGGAGATAAAGGGGATGTGATCTTCTGTGGGCAAAACATAGGCTCTACTACCCCGACTCCAAACATAGAACTGAGGCTCCTGACACACGAAAAATGTGACATTCTCTATCTTATTAGCTGATGCCAAACCTGGTGTCCTCCAGATGTTTTGGACTGATCTTCAGCCATGCAGGCTGTACTGATGGTTCATAGAATCATAGAATAGTAGAACTGAAAGGGGCCATGAAGGCCATCAGGTCCAACGCCCTGCTGTTGCAGGACACCAGTTTACAGCATCCCACTCAGATGGCTGTCCAGTTTCTTTATGAATGTCTCTAGTGTGGAAGAGCCCACAAACATTATTAAGTGTGAAACAACTGAAGGGCACCAGGCTGGGCAAGGCAGAGTTAAGACTGCAAACAGCTACCTTAGTTTGTGGGCCACTAGGGAAAGCCTCCACTGTACCAAAATTAAAAAGGTCATAACAGGAATTCCTAGTCAGGAATGGTATGCTGCTAAGAAAGGGCTCTGAAGTCTGTTTAAGACTTATTTAAAGTGATGGATTTTATTTGCTTGGGTGACAAACATTTCTATTATTTTTCCAACAAGCAAAGGGGAGCAAGTCAGTGCTTCCTCTCCTCACAGGTATGGAAATGAGCATACTTAAATTGAAGAATTCAGGTGCTTGATGCTCTTCTTGCTTTGAGCATCTCTGGATAAAACCAGAGAGTATGCAGTTGAATGCAGTTCCAAACAGGCAACTCAAACTATTATATTGCTATCAATTGCACACAGAAATTTGGGGTATACTGAGCAGTGGACAAAGGTGAAATGGGCCACTGATGTTTTAACTTATCTACAGAAACAACGTTTTAGGTCACAATCTGTAGTGTGCTCACTTGTCGTGATAGTGCCCCCTGTCAGAGCACCATTCCTCTGTAATTTCTGGCACTCCATGTGCTGCCAACATTTAAGCTGCATCTGAAAGTTCAATTTGTAGAGAGGATCTCATCCGTGAAGGATGGTTATTGGACTATGCAAGGTTAAAAGAACTGGTGTTGAAGCTACGGCATCCGTGGAAAAGCCAAGCTTCTGAAAATTCATCCATGGCTGAAACTATAGTCACTTTTTCCTAGCTGTACCTCCGAACAGATTCAGATGTTCCAGATGGCTGTAAGTCTGCATGCACACCAACGACTGGAAATCTACTCATTCTGAACTATCATAATGCCAGCAAATGTGCCTTCACTGGGCATAGCTGCTTTAAATTCTGACAATGTTCTACACCCGCTCCAAGAGGAGGTAGTGCTGCTTCATGTCTTACGGTCAGTCTTGGCACACACACCCGTGTCTGGAGGCTTGAGGGGAAGCCTACTCTGATGAGCAGGCAGTATTTCCAACTTGACATTTTCCGAAGTTGCAGCTAAGAGCTGGGTGGCCTCCAACAAGGAACAGTGCTCCGTGCTGGTGCCATCAATGGAAAGGATGTGATCACCAATGTGCAAGGCTCCGCATCTGCAGAAGAACACAGAAGACAAGCAGGGGCATCAGCCTATCCAAAGTCCAACAGGTGTTCTCTCTCTCTCTCTCTCTCTCTCTCTCTCTCTCTCTCTCTCTCTCACACACACACACCCACACCCACACCCACACCCACACCCACACCCACACCCACACCCCTTGCTCAGTTCCTGATAGTGCTGTGTTAAATCTATTTCCTGCAATGCTCTTTGCTGGAGTTCAGCCAAAGCCGTGCTTCAAGCCTTGAATTCCTCTAGCTGAAAACATCAGAATGCACAGAGCTTTTATCCAAAGGAAGACCAAGACGGCTTGGCTGAGATACCAGGAAACCCTCCTTTATGAACTTTAGGAGAAACATTCACACATCAAAGACAGTCTGAGGGTTATCTTTATTGTAGAATCCAAGGGTTTTTCCAGGCAATAAATAACCCCAGATGTTCTTTTCATTTGCATTTATTCTTTGCAATTTGGTATGTTAAAAGGTAAGAGAGAGAGAGAGAAGGAGAGAAATCAGGGCAGATAGGATCCAGGACTGGAGAAAGGGAGCTGTATAAGTTTCACAAGACCTTAAAAAGCAAAATGGTTGTGAAATGGCACACACTGGTACAAGATTAGGACAGGGCAATTTGGAGAGCACTCATTCATAGGGTTGCCATAAGTCAGAGTCAGCTTGATGGGACGTAGCAACTATGAGATAGCATTTACTTTATTTTGCAAAGAGCTAAGGGAGCCTTCCTATGATTTAGTGTTATATAGTCACATTCAATAAATAGTTAAAATAGAAATAGCCGTGGGAGCTGGATTGGGTCAGGGGAGCAGAATCATATTTCCTCAGCAATAAGGGACAGGAAAAGGGCAGTTTTATGTGCTGGAGAAATGAAAATTTCTCTACCAGGAAAGACTTGCAGAAACCGTACGGCAAAGGAATGGTGTGTGTGTAACAGCACACAAAACAAAAAGGCAAACTTCACAGCATGTTACCCTTTGCCAGTAAGTCATCCTTCTGCACACCTGCTAGGAGCTCAAGGAGACATGTGTGATCCCAAAAGCAATTTCACATAGCAAATTAAATTGGGCCTAATTAATCTCTGACAAACGAAAGTTGGTTATCTTTGACCACATGGTATGATAAATTCATTTCCAGTGGCATGATCAGATGTACAGTGAAAAGTTTTGGCCCACGTGTTCCACGGTAATATCAAAGATCAAAGGGTTTCAAAGTTTTCCAACATTAACTTGTCTGCCAAGAAACTCCAAGTGTTTGCCTGTGAATTCCTGCATTTTGTGGAGAATTCTGGAATGTACACCAAAGGCATATGATGACTTGACACAGTGTACTAGCCTACTCTGCTGGGCCTTACTATTGTTTTGTGTGATCTGAGTGTGTGCCTTAACACACACGTCTGCAGATTGCAGGGAAGAATAATGTGAGATTGGCATGGCTTCCTTCAAGGAAGCTTGCCTTCCAATACAAATAAAACACACACACACACACACACACGCGTGCGCGCGAAAGAAAAAGGATACCAAGGGATAGTATAGAAATATAGCACCTAATTTCAACATCTAACCAGTTCATGAGAAAGCAAAAATTTCTATCACTTCTGGCCACGGTTATAGCAATCAATTCTCAATTAAGATTCAACTTAGATCAACAGACTGATCTAATTTATCAAAACAATCATTAATAATGTCATAACCTGAGCATGAAGTATAAGTTTCCCTTTCTTTCTTTCTTTTACAAATTCTGTTTCCTTAAATATTAAATTGCTCAGAATAAGCTTTCCATTTTTCATTAAATTCTTTGGCAGGTCTTCTATTTATATAATTGGTTAGTTTCACCATTGTTGCATAGCTTATTTTTCCATTTCTTTCTTTCTTATTTGTATCTTGTTTCTTTTTTGTGAAAATTAAAACATGCCAAAAAAGATGGGGGGGGGAGCTTGCTTTCCATTACTCATCTTCTTATGAATACTTCTCCCAAGTTTTCAAGGAACCCATAGTTGCCCTGCAACAGTTTGAAAATTGCTAGTGTATATGTACAGCCTTGTACATCTGAGCTCATGTTAGAAGCATCCCCAGTGCAGAGTATTCCTTGTACTGGTGCAATGACGATTTTCACATACCCCTCAAAAACTTCCTATTAGTTCAGAGAGGGGTGTGGGGAGAAGCAGGTCACATACGGGGGAAGAAACAGCCCAGCAGACCCAGACTGCTGGCACAGATCAGCTTCATACCTGTCTACCACACTGGCTGGCTTGATCTTGTCAATGACTATAACCTGCTTATTCCGATGGGTGTTTGTTGTTAGCGTGATTCCTAGTGCAGAGCCCGGAGTCTTTGCAATTTCCACTAGCAAAGGGCCTGAAGCATTGGCAACCGTATCTATAAAACAAAAATGGCAAGTAAAGTTTATTTTACTTCCCCCAGTTAGGAAACTAATTGGATTGGAAAAAACAAGTAGTGGCTATCATATTGTGCTTCAAATATATGGTCACCCAGGGCAGACAAATCCCTATGGCTTGGTTCCAGGGGTTTTTTTGGTTGACAGAAGGGCTCCTTCTGCCTACAGATGGCTTTCCTTCCAGTGAAGGAGAAAGGGAACCATCTTTGCTTCCTTGCAGTCCTTACGCCCCATCCAAGTATGTTCTAGAGGGCTGGGAAATGAAACTGAACACTGAACAGAGAGGGAGAATTAATAAAGGTCCCTCTGCATTTCAGCCCCTGAAAGCAATTCTAAATAGAACTCTGCTCAGAGAATGCTCCTGCTGGTGAGAAATTGGCTGCAGCCTCTTATCTTTATTTAGGAACTTCTCTTGTTTGCATATATATTAGAAAGTGCAAAAGAATGCTGCTTCACGCACTATAGGAACCCCCTTGTGTGTTTGCTACTGACTTGGCTCGGCAAGCTAAGTTTTATAGGGGCAGGATAAAATCTGCTGGAGACCAAGAGGACAGCAATCAGACAGCAGCAGGTAACGAGCTGATAGCTGCAGGAATCAACAGCCCAGCCTTTCCTTTGCATTCTGGGTCTTCTCTGCATGCTCTTGGGTACCCCGGGCAGGAATGACGAGGCAAACGTGGATATCTGGGTGGGGTTGTTTCTTAAGAGGCTCTAGCTGGCTGCATAATAGACTGGCCTGCTCGTCCATAGATCTCTGTTGGACAGGATGGGTTGCAGGTTCAATAAAACCGTACTGATTCTCCACACGACCCTGCAGTTCAGCTTGACTGGTGGTTTGGTACTGAAGACTACCCACCATCTGAGCTGGCACCTGACTCACTGTGTGACACCATAATAGTGCTTACGTTCTGGAAGTGCAAAAGCTAGAGGAAGGGGCACGCAAAGGAGCCATGGGCCACTGCGGTTCCCCAGCACAGAACTGCCACAAGTCCTACGTGGAGAGTCGCCTCTCCTCCTTCCCTGCCTGGAGCAATCTCCAATCTGAGCTGCCTGGCTTCGATTCACTGTTACCTCCCCCATAGTGAAAGAGGCACAAGAACAGCAAATGAGGTTACAGTGCTCAGTCCACTTGCCTGGGAGTAGGTCTCACTGAACTCAGTGGACCTTACTTCTGAGTAGACATAAACAGAATTGTACTGTGAAGCCTTTAAATGTTTGCATTCATTCAGATCATATTCCTGAATGCAGCCTGAGCTAAAAGAAAATGCTCAGGATGCTTCTTATTACCACATTTTAATATTTAATAGTAGATCTAAACATTATTTTCGTTCCATTCATAAACTATAATCTAGCCATATCCCATTTACATTGGTTTCAAAGGCTCTAATTAAATATTATTTAAAGCACACTGTTAAAACAGCCAGAGCAAGGGCTAGACCAAAGCCTACCACGATCAGTTTTCATAACTTTCAAGCTATCCAGCTGTTCAGATTTCACAAAGTTATCTTGCACTAGCATGCAGATGAGTTACAAAGCTGGCAGAACATATTCATTCCTTAAACCTAGTAAGCACAACTCAGCTTTTTGCTACCAAGCCTAATTAACACAAGAGATAAGAGTAACATTTTTATTCTTAAGAATAAAAAGAAAATCTAACTATTAACTGAAGAAAACTAAGCTATACATAAGCATTCAGCTACCTGACTGTAAATGCCACTAATTTCAATAGGACTTCTGTGTGATTAGCTGTGTTCAGGATTGCAGCGTTAAGTAATGTTCCTGTTTCTCTGATGAACCTATGTACACCTGCTACCTTGCTGCATTGAGCCCTTTGCAGCAGGTCTTAAAAAAAATCTAATTCATATACCCCGTTTCCCTGAAAATAACACTGAACCGGAAAATTAGCCCTAGCATGATTTTTCAGGATGCTTGTAATATAAGCCCTACCCCCAAAATAAGCCCCAATTAAGATCATCAGCCAGACGGACACATTGAATACATCCACTGCAACACAATCAGGGGTTTGGAGAGTTATGACGATGTTCCAGAAGAAGATGACATGGCTGTATTTGAATAAATGTAGATTTTCGTACATGAAAAAATAAGACATCACCTGAAAATAAGCTCTAGTGCATTCTTTGGAGCAAAAATTAATATACGACCTGGTCTTATTTTGGGGGAAACACAGTATGTATTTCAAACTCACTGCTAGGCAAGATCGTGTTATGTGCATAAATGTAACATGCCCAATGGCTCTTTTTCTTCAAGGACAGTATCAACCTCTAGGTCAAGGTCAAGGTCAAGGTCAGTATTGGGAAGTTCAGAAAGAATGGGACCTTAGCAGCATTGCTTTTCAATCCTATTTCTGTCACACCAATTACCAGCAAACCATAACTAATGGTCCAACATAGCTTAGCTGAAGTGGGGATAATTTCCAAGGGCTGCCTTTTTGGCAATTAAAGACTGATGACTTGGCACACATTAGTACTGGGAGCCTTTCACTAATACAAGCAATATTTTTAATGATATGAAGGAGGTTTGCGGGAAATAAAGGGGCATCTCTGAGCACCAAATAGCCGTCTTGTCTAGGCACATAAAAACCACTCCCACCAAGGAAGGCAAAAGCCACTACAAAGCAGGAGGATTTATGAAGCAGATTTAAAAAAATATTACTGTATGACCTGCAATTAGGACCCTCAGTGCACTCCGGATATGCAGATGCTAGAAAATGTCATAGGAACCTCTTTAGGCACTTCAAAAGAAAAGCGGATGGAATCAGTTCAAGGAAACCCTGTATCTCCTGCCTCTTGATGAGTCACAGCAAGTCTTTTCACACCCACGTTCACTCTGTCAAGAAGCTGGCATATGCTCCAGCTGCTTCTTTTTCCCTAGAAGATGGTCCCTGCTTTTTGGTACCTGCCCCCACACACGATGGTCCCCGACTCCTCCTTTGGAATATATCCAAGCCCAGATTACCCAGCAGTGCCGTTCTTCAGGGTTCAGTGGCCTCTGCTCATGGTCTCTTTAAGTTTAATCTTCGCATGGGGAGGGGGGTACACCCAGATTCAGTGCACATCCATGCAAAAGCAGACAGGAGAAAACTAGGGCACCAGGTAAAACACAGTCTGCCATGCCACATACAATGAATATATTTTGAATGGTCAACGTGATACAGTGGTACTTCGGCTCACGAACGCCTCAGTTCACAACCAAATCAGGTTGTGAACAGAAATTTCTGAAAAATTTGCCTCAGGTTGCGGACTCCACATTGGGTGACGATTGCAATCGCGCCTGTCTTCCCTCCACAAGCGCAACCATGATCACATTTGGGGGGGGGGGGGAGATGGTCGCGATCGTGCTTGGGATGGGGGGGAGATGGCCGTGATTGTGCCCATGTTCCCTGCCTGAGTGTGACCGCGCCCGTCTATGGCCACGATCGCACTTGTGGAGGGAACTTGGGCGCAATCGTGGTTGTGCTCATGGCGGGGGGTGGGGGCGGGGGGAGATGGCCACATTTGTGCTCAGGGTGGGGGGGTGGGGGAGATGGCCATGATCTTTGTTGTTCTTTGTCACTTTGCTTCAAAGTTTGTTGATTAAAAAAAAAAGTTACAGAACAGATTGACCTTATTTACATTGAACCTTATGGGGAAATTTGACTTGGCTCACGACCAATTTGGGTCATGACCAGAGTTGTGGAACGGATTAAGTTCGTGAGCCAAGGTACCACTGTATTGTCAGAAAGCTATGCTTTGTAAGTATACCTTGAACCAGAAAAACAAGATAGTAAAACCAAGGCAAGGTGGACTGCAGCAGCAGCAGCAGCCAATACGGCATGCAGGAAGAGGGAGGGAGGGAGGCTTCAGCAGGGCCAGCCCTCCCATTGCTCAGAGTGTGGCAGCGGCCACGGGGGCAGCCACGGGAGCCTGCCAGTCGTGTTTCTTCACAGTTTCAGGCTGCCCTGCTTTGTTAGAGAAAAGTGTGGCTCAGGCCACACAGCCTGAGCTCTCTGGACCAGCCTGCTACCTCCGACATGACACTGTCCCAACAGCAGTGTTGGAGTAAGAGTCAGTCCAGCTTCTGTGCGTGGAATGAAGAGGTCACCATCTTGCCTTTTGCTTCAGGCAGTAAACTGTACTTGGGAGACTGGCCTTCAGCAGCGCATCACGAGGAGGCGAAAATCTCTGGCAGCAGGCCTTAACAGGAGAATCAGGGTTAGTGAAATGCAGATCCTGATTTCCATCAGTGACATGTTGGTGGATTTGCCAGCTGCACTGTGAGATCCAGAGCTCATGGTAGGCATGCCAACCAAGGCACTTCCTTATGGAGGATTTTTGGATGTCTGCACCCACAACAGGAAGGCCGCACCAATCCCTATGCACAGAATGAGGGGGTGGCACAATCAGGCCCAGATAAAACCCAATTACTGGCTGTGGAAGGGAGCTTTGTGCAAAATCCACATGCAACCACAGCCCTCTTTTTTGCAACAGTGATTTCTGCAATGCCACAAACCCATGCAGGAAGCTGCCTTCTGAACACATTTCTAGTCCATACCCAGGAGCTGGGAGTCTTGGCATGGGAAATACTCTGCCCCTCCCATTGCATGTCCCACCAGAGCACGGAAGGAAGTACCCAGATAAGGCGACGCAGAGCAGTGCCCAAGAGTTCCATTACAGCAGGGAAAAACAAGAAACTATCACAACCCACCTGGTGGTCCTCCTGTCTTCTATCTAGCAGGACATGGGAACCTTCCAAAATTTGCAGGAGGACACCCAGAGTAGAATCTTAAAGGGAGATGATACCACCCATCCCCCAAGGCTAATGAGGCCTGAGCATCCTCAGAAGCCACAAAATACTGACTGGCTTCTAGAAAGAAGGCAGGGGATGGAAAACTGGAGGGGGCACATGGAACTGAGCAGAAGTGGGAAGAAGGCAGATCTAGGTCGAAGTGAGAGATCTGGGCAGCAGACCAGCAAGGATTCCT